CATAGAAATGCAATTAATTTTTGAATATTGACTTTGTATCCTGCAATCTTGCTACATTTACTTGTTAGTTCTATGAGTTTTTTTGTATATTCTTTAGGATCTTCTTTAACAACAATCATGACATCTGTGAACAGTCAGTTTTATAAGAGCAATCTGAATGTCTTTTATTTCTTTCCTGCCTTGCTATGCTGGGTAAGACCTCCAGCATGAGGTTGAGCAGGAATAGTGATGCAGAATATCCTTTCCATGTTCTCCAATTGTAGGGAAAATCATTTGTCTTTGACCATTAGGAATTATGGTGGCTATGGGTTTTTCTTAAAGAGAGCTTTCAATTTCCCAGCTCCTTTCTACTCATATTACTAATTTGTTGAGAGGTTTTATTATAAAGGAATTTAGTAAAATGACCATGTGGTTTTTCTTCATTAGTCTGTTGTTGGTGTACTGATTTTTGAAGCATGAACAAACCTTGCATTCCTAAGATAAAACATACTTGGTCATGGCATATTTTCCTTTTAATATACTGTTAGATTTGATTTGCTAATATTCGTCGAGGAATTTTGCTTCTAAGCTCTTGTGGAATCTTATTATATAGTTTTCTTCCCTATAATGTTTTTGTCTAGTTTAGTCTAGTTTAAAAGTGATGCTGGCTTCATAAAATGAGTTGGAAAGTGTTCCCTCTTCTATATTGTGATAAAGTCCTTACATCTTCAGTAGAAACCAATGATAGAGCCTACCTGAGTTGGGAGTTTTCTTTGCTGAAGATTTTAAATATGAATTCAATTTCTTCAACAGAGACAAGACTGTTCCTGCTACCTATTTCTTCTTGAGCAATCTTTGGCAATATTTTCCTTTAGGGAAGTTGTCCATTTCATCTAAACTGCTGGATTTGTTTAATGAGTTGTTGTATTCTATTACTCTTTTAATGTCTGTAGGGAACATAGTGATGCCCCCTCTTTCATTCCTGTTATTTGTAACTTGTGTCTCTTCTACTTTTTTCTTACTCAAAATTTTATTGATCTTTCCAAAGAACTAGATTTTGGTTTTATTTGTCTGTATTTTTTTCTCTTATGTATTCTGTATTTTTTCTCTTCTCAATTACACTCATTTCTGCTCTTAATTTTATTATTTCTCTCCTTCTGTTCGTTTTGGGTTTAATTTGTTCTTTCTTTACTAATTTCTTGAAGTTTGGGAGCTTAGATCATTGGCACATTCTTTTTTCTTTTCTAGTAAAACCATTCAATGCTAAAAATTTCCCTCTACTGCTTTCACTGCATTACACAAATTCTGACATGTTCTGTTCCCATTATCAATTAGTTCAAAATATTTTCTCATTTCCCTTGACATCTCCTCTATGACATGAGTTATTTAGCAGTGTGTTAATATCCAAATATTTGGGGCTATTGCAGAAATCTTTTTATCGATTTCTAGTTTAAATGCATTATAGCCTAAATACATATGGTGTATAACTTTCATTATTTTAAGTTTGTTTTATGGCTGGGAATCTGTTCTCTGTGTTATCAACTGAATGTTTACGTCTCCCCATAATTCCTATGTTAAAATCCTAATCCCCAATATGACAGTACTAGGAAGCAGAGCCTTTGGGAGGGTAATTAGTTCATGAGGGTGGAGCCCTCATGAATGAGATTAGTGCACCTTTATAAGAAGAGACACAGAGCTTGCTCTCTCTCTCTCTGCCATATGAAGATACAATAAGAAGGTAGCCATCTGTAAACCAGGAAGTGCACCCTCACCAGACACCAGATCTGCCAGTACCTTAATCCTGGACTTTTGAGGATCCAGAACTGTGTGAAATAAATGTTGTTTAAGTCAGCCAGTCTATGGTAATATGTTTTTTTTTTTTTTTCCTTTTTATCTTTTTTCGTGCCCGGCAACGGATCGCAACCCTCAGTGTCGCGCCCGTACCGGACCGGGACCGGCAACGGGATCGCAACCCTCGGTGCTGCGCCCACACCTCGCTCAGCCAGTGAGTGGCCGGTCTGTATGTGGGATCCGAACCCTCGGCGGGAGCGCCACCGCGCTCCCAAGCGGCGCACTGTAGCAGTGCGCCACCGGGCCGGCCCAATGGTAATATGTTATAGCACCCCAAGTTGACGAAGATACTTGGTAAACGTTCCGTGTGTACTTGAAAAGAATGTGCACTCTGCTGTTGCTAGGGGGAGCGTTTTCCAAGTGTTAATTAGGTCAAGTTGGTTGCAAGCATTGTTCAAGCCTTCTATATGAGGGTACTTCAAAAAGTTCATAGAAGGATTTGTATTACCTTTTAATTCTATTTTTCCACAAACTTTTTGAAGTATGTTCTTATTTTTACTGATTTTCTGTCTAAATATTCTGTCAACTTCTATTAGAATAATTTTAGATATACAGAAAAATTTCAAAGAGAGTACAAGAATTCCCATATAACCCACAAATTGTTTCCCCTATTATTAACCCCTTGTTAGTACTGTACATTTGTTACAATTAATGAACCAATATTGGTACATAAAATCCATACTTTATTCAGATTTTCTTAGTTTTTACCTAATGTCTTTTCTCTGTTCCAGAATCCCACCCAGTACACCACATAATAGATGCTCTTTGACTTATGATGGGGCTGCATCCAACAAAGCCATCATAAGTTGAAAGTCGAAAATATATTTAATACATTTAATCTACTGAACATCATACCTTAGCCTAGCCTACCTTAAGTGTGCACAGAACACTTATATTAGCCTACAGTTGGGCAATATCATCTAACACAAAGCCTACCTTATAACAAAGTATTGAATATCTCACATAATTTACTGAATATCGTACTGAAAGTGAAAAACAGAATGCTTGTATGGGTAATCAAAGCAAGGTTTCTACTGAGTTTGTATTGCTATTGTACCATCATAAAGTTGAAAATCATTAAGTAGAACCAATGTAAGTCAGGGACCATCTGTGTATTTAACTGTCATGTCTCCTTACCCTCCTCTTAGTTACGATACACTTTTTTTGTTTTGACAGTGTTGAGAACTTGTCAGGTATTCCACAGAATTTCCCTTAACTGGGATATTCTGATGTTTTTCTGATGGTTATGGGTCTTTGAGAGGAAGACCATATGGGCGAAGTGCTATCTTCAATACATCATATCAGGGGTATGTGCTATTAACATAACATATTACTGGCTGTTGACTTTATCTGGCCAAGGTAGAGTGTGTCAGGTGTCTCCAATGTAAAGTTGCTCTTTTTGTTATTTTTCCATACTGTACTCTTTTGAAGGAACTCACTATATGCAGCCCTCACTTAAAGAAAGAGTGGGGAGTTATGTTCTACCCCCTTGAGAACTGAGTATCATACATAACCTATCTGGAATTCTTCTACATGGGAGATTTGTCTCTTTTCCTACATTTATTTATTCAATCATTTATTTATATCAGTATGGACTTATGCATATGTATTTCATAATCTGAGTTACAATACAATACTACTTTATTATGCAAATTATTCCAGCTCTGGCCATCAGGAATAGCCATCTTTCAGTTTGCTCCAGAGTCCCTTTGACAGATGCTATCATTTGGGGTTTTTTATTTTGAGCACTTCCTTACTTTCTGGCACTATAAGACATTCCAGACTCATCTTGTACGTTTCTTGCTGCAGTCACAGAACCAGCCATTTCACCAGTGAGCCCTAATTCCTTTTACTGAGAATAGTGTTAGCAACCAAGATCTGGATACTCAGTGTACTTGTTCCTAGTGGCATGTCATTACTTTTAGGCCCTCTCAGCTCACAAGCAACTGCCTTTTTAAACTCTTCGTATTTCAGTATGAGTAATTTCTAATGTCCTACACACTGATTCTCTCCACAGCTATGTCAAAGTTTACCAATAAGCCCAAAGGCATTCTTCACTTCTGCTACTGTGTTTTTCTTTTCTAGCATTTCCATACGAAATTCCATCTCTCTGCTAAAATTCTCCATCTGTTCACATACTGTCCACTCTTTCCTAAGTCTTTCCCATCTTAATCATATTTATATTAAATTCCCTGTCTGATAATTCCAACATTTTAGAGTCCAGTTCTACTGAATGCTTTTTCTCCCAAGAGTACATCAGGGTTCTTTTCATATTGTTTCTTAAGTCTTCTAATTTTTGATTGATAGGTGGACATCTTGTGTAAGATAGTAAAAACTGATGGAAATAATATTTATGTAAGAATGGACACATCTCTTTTTTTTAGGTCTTCAGTGCAGGGGTTCAAATCAATCTGGTCAGAAGTTGGACTAGGCTGTTACTATAATTTTCCACAGTACATCAGACTTCAAATTCATCTTGAGTAACTTTGTATTTACGGTTAGGGACAGTTTGCCAAGTTTTTCTCAATGTCTGCTCCACCCTTAGCTAAGGTCTTCCCTTTAAGCTTGCTCCCCTGCCTTGGGAGAGAGTCTCCTTCCACACGTTAGCTCTTCCTCCATTAGCAAACTGTTGTTACTTGTTACTTGATGCTTGGAAGCCTGGTGGAGAGCAGTAGGGTAGGGGTAAATAACTTGTTTAGGCTCAACCTCAGTCTTAGGCAGTTGAATTGTCCCAGGGCCTCAGCGATGGGCCTTCTCCATGATCCTGCCCTTACTACAGTGATAGGGGATCTCTAATGGCCTGAGCCCAGAATGTGTTCCTGCCTCTCCCATGGATAGCTTTTTTTCTCCTGGTTCCTTCCTCCCACTGCAAACAGTCTTCACTGGTATCTTTAGGATTAAAGGGTTTTTCTCAGTGGTTAAAGAGTGCTCTTACTGAACAAAACTCAAATGACCAGAGTCTAAATACTGCCAAAAAATAATGTTCATCAAACCATATTTTTCAACTGTATTCATATGTAAGGCATTTTATTTAGTAGAGAAAGATTTAGCACCTGATATTCAAGTGCATGCTGTTGTAGATTTATCTACCAAGAACTTAACTCTTAACCTTTAAAAAACCTAAAAGCAAAACAACAGAACTCATTTTGTAAGACAAAAGGAAAGCTTACGTTGGCCGTCGTGTCTCAAGTAAAGTCAGCAATATCTGGATTGCACTGACTATGGCTGATTCATTTTTCTCCTTGTGGAAAATATTTGATAGAAGCTGTTCTATAATTTCTTGCCTAGGGAAACAAATCAATAGTCAAGCACTAACTGTAACATCACTTAACACTAACAACTTCAGAGAAAAAAATCATGGTACAATTAACATGAGCAAGGGTTCAGCTGCACTTGGGCATATTTGCTTTACTTAACATTTTATTTTTATATATGCAGGTACTTCAAAAAGTTCATGGAAAGATTCATATCATCTTTCCAATCTATTTTTCCACAAACTTTTTGAAGCACCCTCATATTTATTGAAGTTGGTAAGTGACTCTGCTTACTGTCTCTCTCTCTCTCTCTGTCTCTCTCTCTCTCACACACACACACTTTCTCTCTCTCTCTCTCTCATTCCTATCTCCTCCCTTCAGCAAAATAATCTGAGCCCTGCTTGCCTTTGCTAATCTCACTGACAGCCAACAAACATTTCAAGACTGGAAGTAACCTCCCACTTAGACCAGGGTGGTGGTGGTGGTAGTGGTGGTGGTGGTAATGGCTGGGGGTGGTAAGAAGACTTTGAACCTTTTGCCCCCACAAAAGGAGGAAAAATTTTCAAAAAGGCTAATTAGAAGCCATAATGGTTTCCCACAAAGACATGAATGTGTAATTAACAGAGATCTAAAACAGGTAAAAGAGAATATCAATTGTTGCAATTTATTCTACAATTAAAATTTGGTAAATCAAATAACATGGCAGCAATGAAATGGATCTGACTGAACTACTGCCCAAAAAGCATCTCTGCAGGTTCTTCCCATTATATTTCTCTTATACATATGCAAGACCACAATTAATATAAAACATAAGATTAATCTGTTAGTTAAATTTATATGAACACTGTCAAGGAAAATCTCAGTTTTTTAGAATCTCAATAGTTTTCCAAATCCATGTGAATTAAGAAATGGAATCTCCCTAACAATGTGACATGCCACTGGGTTGTCCCTGGTTGCTCAACTAGCAAAGATGTTAGTCATCCCAAGGTACAGCTGTGCTCACTATACCATACACCAGTTCCCTTGACCACCTCTTTCTTGCCAGTCTAGGGCAGCAAGTAAGAATCTCTATTTGGGGGAAGCAAATAAAACTGGTATCTAACCTAACTTCAGAGGGGTCCCCTTGCAGGAAGTGGTTTTCAAGTACTCCCAGGCCAGCACTAAAACCGCTTGTGAGACCTAAGAGTACTGTAAAAGCCACTCAACACACAGCAGTCTATAGAATAAATGGTAGATTTGGAACTGAGCTTTGGAAAACAGATTGCCTTTTACAAAAAATGTCCATATGCTTCAAATAGCAGCCCTGCCCCAGGTGGAGGGCTACTGACACAGCATGCAACCGTAGATGTCCATATTCTCCTCACTCACTCGCAGGGCCCTCACTCATCAGTGACCAATATCATACTTTCATGAAGACCGATGCCTGAAGGCAATGGCTAACAGAGGCCCTCGCCATTTCACAGCTGCATCAAATTGGAAGTCTACTGTAATCATGAAAGAATTCTACTGATGGACAAGAACAACATAATAATAAGCAAAAACTTGATGGTCAAGATGCAACATCACAGTAGCTGTACCATAGTCTGAGTCTTACCTAAACGTACAAATATCACCAAATATAGAAGAAATAACAAACTGAAGGATCAAGCTTCTCAAACAAGATAAAAGGAACAGTTCTTGGATAAGCATAAGTGGAACTCATAATATGAGTTATTTTATGCATGAAGCCATCAGGTTCCTAACCATGTCCTTGGGACAATGGCTCTCTTTTGTTCTGCTTTTGATTTTTTATATGAGTAGCCACAGGAATAACTCACTTCTATAAAACTGACTCAAATGGGATCAAACCCAACTCATTCTAAGCTCTTTAGTATCAAAAATTAAGAGATACACAGTATAATCTTAATACAACTGTTTTTCAGGAATTTTTTTTTTTTTTTTTTTTTTTTTTTCGTGTCCG